AGGTTAACAGGACAGGTGTTATATTCTTTTATACTAGTGGGGTAGAAAACGAAAGTATCTTAAAATGTAGCATTAATCATAAAACAGTGAAAGTTAGATAATTCCTAAAAGTGAAACCTCTGAGCTTCACAGCAAGAAATGTTCAGAAATTAAGTTTGGCAATAAAAGTTTACATTTTTCTCCCTAAAACTTTAAACAAAAGGTCTCCAACTTTTTAACAGTGTTAAAAAGCACAGGACATATGCTTTTTTCCCAAAAAAACACTGGATGGAAAAAATACCTATTTAATTTTAACAAGATGAATAACAATCAGGAAAAGGAAAGCCAGATGTTCGCATTTTTAAGTGCAAGAAGATAAAATATTAATTCGAATTTCAACTAAACATTAAAATTCTCAAACGATAAATGAAATCCCCAAAGACCATTCCTCATTTTAAAAAGTTTACCTTGCAATCAAGGAGCAGTTGTGAATCATGTTCTTTTCAACAAAGATACCTTGGGATTCATCAGTTTCAACTATTCGCCCATCTTGATACCATAACACTTGCATGTCCTGATCAATATAGGAAGCCATGCACTGGAAGGGAAGGCTGTCTCCTTCAAACACAACTTGACGATGAGATGGAGTCATGTAGAAAGACGGTAATTCAAGGGGAGGATCTAGAGAAGGCAAGACAGAGACACAAAGACAACATCATATTCACACTCCAGAATTAGAAGTTATAGACATTCGAATTAAAACTCTGAAATGGAAAAACAAATATTCCTCAGTAACCAGCGTTTAAATGCTAGCACCAAGAAGGCTGATACTGAGTGAAATAAGTGGGCTCCCGATGAAAACAAAATTAACAAAATTAAAATGAAACCATTTCATAATCAGTTCTGACATTGAGAGTTGCTCCTTTCTGGTGGCATCAAAAGACTATCGGATGATCACAGAAGCAGTACTAAAAGAATAAATTGTAAAATGATACTTAATTCTGGAGAATAAGACTGGTGATAATTAAATGTTGATATATACACAACTTAGAAATCCATTTTGGAGACTGTATTACCTTTGATTAAACCACTGGTTTGTGGTTATGAAAGTAATGCATACTCATCGCACAAAATTGAGAACATTTCAGAAAAAGGGAAAAAAATCTTTTAAGATCCTATATGTTACAATCACTTGTAAACTGTGATATATTTCCGTCCAGTCACAAAAATAAAAGAGAAAATTTAAATATTCTGGGGATGCCAAAAAAATGTATACAAGTAGACACTTTGGTCAACACTGCTCAAGCAATAGTTCGCTGTAATCAGGAGTGTCTGGACACTGATGGTAACCACTTTGAGCACTTCTTGTAATTGCAGAAGTCAAATGTGACTTGTATTCATCTTTTGATAGCGGTAGATATTGAGTATTATAATTTTAATAGGTTTTTCCTTTCTTAAAATGTGTATACGTTTTTCGGGCACCCTCTGCATATGCAAAAATGTACACAAAAATCATGAGCTCATTAAAAGCCTTGAAATATTTAGTCCATTGTCCAACACAACAATTCTGCTTTCAGTAGTGGTCTATCCTAAAGAATGTCAGCACATATGCAAAGATGTATAGAGGGAAATTAATCCTTGCATTGTTTATGGAGTAATTATTAACAATCTAAATAAATACACAGTAATAAGAATGTTGTGAAGTTACGACTACAGCTATACAATGGATTGGTATGCATCTATTTTATATAAAGGGAAATAAATTTCCATTACCTCAAGTTAAAAGGTCATGAAATAGCATGAGATTATGATATTTTAGTCAAGACACAGGGGAAAAGGTGCAGAAGATAATACACCAGGTATCTTGGACATTAGCTACCTTTGAGTGAGAACAATGTCTTTTTTTCAGCCTTAAGTAAAACATAATTAACAAAGTTGTAAAATATTTAGTGTGTATCATGAGGATCTGATGTTCATATACATTATTTCTTTTCACGAATCTTAATTTTTGTCCAATGAGCATATTTTACTTGTGAAACAATAATAAAAATGATAATAAATAGGAAAGGAAAAAAATGATAGGATTGCTTGTTTCCAAAGAAGAATACTAAACTGGAATCTCCTGTCATTTTAAGGACTGTTTTTGGTTTATGTTTTTTTTTCCTTTTTCCTTTCTTCATTTAATACACGATAAATGTGTTATTTCCCTTGAGTCTTCAGATGTTTTTTAAAAATCGTGATTTTTCAATAGCTGTATGCTATGAATGGATGTGTCACAGGTAATTAAACAAATCCACTATTTTTGAGAATTCTGATATGCTTATATGTAAAGTCCGAAGATTTACACACATACAAGATCATCTCCTATAATAAGTAAGCTCCTACATGTAGAATTATGGGAACAAATTGTATCAATATTTTAAGAACACTGATAAATATTGCCAAACTATACTACAAAAAGACTCTATCAACTCACACTCCCACCGACAAACAGAATTGCAGCCTGAGATTTTATTACTATCAACAAATGCCTGATTTGCCAGCTCATATAAAATTTGAAAATCTGTGCTATTCTTTGAAATTGGTTTCCATTAAGCTATTCAGAACCTAAGAACCTTAAATACCAATCGAAAAAAATGTTTCTTCATTTAGCTGACTTCACTGTTGGCATAAACCAAATATTGGGTTGTTGGAAAAGTCATGACATATTTTGTCTCTGTTTTTCAAAGGTCATTTATTTATATAAAGAACAAAGATCAATCAATGATATATTGCCCGTTTTGTTCGATAACCTTTTGTCATCTTTCAGTGAGCTTCATAATTCCTTGTTCATAGAAGGACCTGTCTTTATTTGCGAAAAACTGAACAAGGTGCTAATTTACAGCCTCACCTGAATTGAACGTTATACCACGCAAGGAGTTTTGAAGAGAGCAAAACAAGTGGAAGTCTGATGGCGCAAGGTCAGGCCAGTATGGTGGGTGTGGCAACACATACCATCCAAGCTCCACTAATTTTTGATGGGGGATCAAACTTGTGTGTGGTCTCGCATTGTCGCGATGGAACACAACTCTACAAGTAACAAGCTCTGGACGTTTCTGGATGATGGATTCGTTCAAGCTGTCCAACTGCCTAAAGTACACATTCGAATTGACTGTTTGGTTCCTTGGTAAGAGCTTGGAAAACACAACACCTTTAAAATCCCACCACACTGAGAGCATAAACTTCCTCTGATGAATGTCTGCTTTCAATGTCGTTTGAGGTGAATCATCACGTCGGGACCAAGACCATTTGCACACCACACTGTTGTAAACAATCCACTTCTCATCACCAGTTATCAGTCGCTTCAAAAAACGATCGTTTTCCTCACGTTTAATGAGCATATGCAGATATTTATACACGCTGTCAAATGAACTTCTTTGAGTTCATGCGGAACCCAATCGAGCTTGTTTACGTATCCCAGCTTCTTCAGGTGGTTATGAATGCTTTAACGATGGATGTCAAATGTTTCTGTAATCGCTCGTGCCGTGTAACATGGGTTTGACTCAATCAATGCCTTTATTTTGTCGTCTTCAGCCTCGGTGGGCCTCCCTGACCAAGGAGCATCACTGACATCAAAATTACCAGCATGGAATTTCGTGAACCATCGCTAGCACTGACATTCTTATAGAGCATTGCCACTGTAAACTTCATGCAACTTTTCACAAGCTTGACGTGCGTTCTTCCCTTTATGGAAGTAAAATAGTAAAATATGGCAAAAATGCACAGTTTGGTCTTCCACCTTCAACTTGTTGTAAAATCTCCAAAACTCAACCATATTGCTCAATTTTTTTTTTTTAGAATGAAGCTAGAACTGTCAGCTGTCAAATGACATAGCAATACCATAGATGCAAATGACTCTAGTACTTCCAAAAATGAACTAGTGTCATCTGTCGCAAACATGTGTCATGACTTTTCCGACAACCCAATAGTATCAAATCCATGAAGATGAATGGTTGCAATCAGTACCATCAAAGTGTGAAAAGAATTTTACAGTTTGTCAAGGAAAACATGGTGGCCAGTAAACTCCGGTCAGTGCTCTCTCAGTTGCTCTTTCTTTCTTACCGCATGTCAATAACTCCTGCTTCACCCCCGTGACCGGCTGGGCCTGCAGAGACTTCGGGTAAACACACCGTGTGTCCCGGACAGTGATGTTTCTCTCCTTTACCCAGCGATGCATCCACAAGATGTTACAATCACACAAAAGATACTCAGTCTGAAACTCTCTGTTGCATACAAAATACAAATGAGAGACTATGGTGAAAAGAATGAAATGGCATTTTGGCTTTATAGTGGCTTATGTTCTGGATGTGAACAAACCTCTACCATGCTTGTGGCATATACCAACAGTTACGGTCTCCTCGGAGTGACTTTCCCCTATGTTCCTGGGACTGACGCCGCTTTCTACCAAAGCTGGCATGTGAACAAAATCTATTCATGGTCCCTCATCTATGCAACAAGCTCCTTATCCTTAATCCCAGGATTCTGAAATCCCAAAGCCCAGCCCTTTCTGTCTGTCAAACTTTCACCCATTCCTCTTAAAGCATGGAGCACTGGTACCAGATCTTGAAGCTGTTCCCAATTTATCCAGCCATCATTGCCATTTTCTTGGCCTAAATGCCTACAAAACTCTCCTGTTCATTTTGGCAACATAAAGCAAAGTATGGCTGTCTCACAGGGTTATATTCTGTCTGTCTGACTAGAGTGTAAGTTCCTCCAGGGTGAGAACATTTCAGACACTTCCTGGTATATGCCAAGTGATACCACAGTTATTTACAACCTGAAGGGACACAGTCTCAACCAATCAAAAATATAAATGTGAAAATGCCTCATACTTGATACGAAAGCAAATAGAGAATTATCTTTACATGTGGCAACAAGTTTATAATTTGGTACTTGGCTATACGAAACAATGAAAGCAGATACATAGCTTGAGTATAAACACAATAATTTCATGAATACTTGTTTTACAAAACACTATTTGTGTGCCACACGTTTCACTAAGTCCGGCTAGTAAAAATAACTGCACATACTGTTCCCTGCCAACCGGGACAAAATTATGTTACGGGGGGAATAAAATATAAATATAACGAAAACAGAATGCAGCATGTTCAATGCAAATAAATCAACAAGGCACAAAGAGCAAATATAACCACGCTTGCTTCTAACAGACTGTGCGTTCACATAGCCTTCATCTCATTAGTTTTGACAAAAAAGGGGGGGAGCGGTGGGGGGATGGAATAAGATAGAGCAAAGAGAAAGTAACTTAAAAGAACAATAACCAAAGGATGACCAGGCTGACTTCTAATTCCTAAGCACCACCTTCTGGTCAGTTTGAGGAGCTACCAGGTAAAAACACTGGCAATTTCCCATTTTTGGATAAAAACACTTTCCACAATCCTGCCATCAAGGGTCTCACAAGCCAGATTATTCTTTGCAGTCCTTATTAGTTCCTGAATTTCACGGCAGTGGCTGGCTTGAGCCTACTATTGCAAATATGCCAAAAGGAGATGTTTTCACTAAAAAGCAGCCTTCTGGATAAGAACGACAGTGGCACCGAGAAGAAAGACCGCACAGAGTTTGATCCAATGACTCTAGAAGTACATTCATATGTCCACCCTAACGGTGAGGGATTAGATAAATGCCTAACCCAGTAGCTGCTCCCAAGGAAAACCACTAAATGAGATTTAAAGGATAGGACAATAGGTTTAGAAAATGAGAGGAGAGGAGAGAAGGAGAGGAGGGTAAGGGAGGTAAGAGAGGGAGAAGGAGCGGGGTAGAACAGTCAACATGCACAAAACAGAGGACTCTGGTAGGGAAGGCAATTTTCCCTGGGAAAAGAGACTCCATATATGAGTTATACACAATCAAAATTTGAAAAAACTACATTCAATTAATTGCAATAGGAATTAGTATAACTTATAGTTTGAAATACATTAAGGTTTATCTGGAAATACACGTATTTTCACAAGTAGCTCCTATACAACCTCGCGGTGAAAAAAAAAATGTGTTTTGGGGGGTAAATGAGCCAATTCTGAAGCTACAGAGGACTGTATAAATATGCGTATGATCTTACATTGACTTCATAAAACAGGAATCCTACATAAACATTCCTAGAAATGTAATAAGCTGTGAATTCAGTTTGGGGAAGGGGTTACAGGATATAATTAAATCACTAAAATATACAAGATTCTTAAGTGCATAATCTCCAAAGGGAGCGATATTTTACACTTTATGGATTTAATTAGTCAAAGAACAAAATATTTTGTAATTTGTTTTCACAAAGTCAAAGAGAATGAATTACCAATTTATTTACTTGAAATGTAGATTAGGCAGAGTATTCTAAGGAGAACATGGTTGTTCCCATCTGAAGCACATTATATTAAGGTTTATGGTATGCTTTTCAATGTGAATGCAAGCTCTCAAGAGATCCTAATTTCTGTACAAATATCACAAGATTTTTCCCATGAAGTCTCTTCAACCATATAATAACTGTTTTTAATTTTTGAAAACTAAGATATATTTACTGAAACAGAAGAAAAAAAAATTCTTACTTACAAAGACCGTAATGAGCCAAGATAATCAAAAGTTCCTTGAGATAATGAAGAAAACAAATTCCCTGAAAGATTTCTGGAAAAAAAAATGGAAATAATTTCACTTTTGGAAATATTAATGATTATATAACATTTTATAATACTCCTTATTTCCCAAAGTGTCCTGTAATAATTAAGTATTATAAGGAACGTATAAAAGTTGTTTCAAATATTATAAAGAGGAAACAAGTAGTAAATATTTCTCCAAGGCTGAAGAAGAAAATCATTTTTAACTTTATATAAAACAGTAAACATTATTTTAAAATTATTATTGCTAGATAAAGATTATTCTATCAAATAATCAGGTGAACTTGAAAGTTACCTTACTAAATTTTAGTTGTGCTCTCACTGTAACTAGAATTACTCTTCACGTGTTTTACTATCATTTTAGAAAGCAAAACTTTTTTTAAAAAATGGAAAAGGATGATCCGAATGACCATCTACAGCAGCCCACAGTAACTCAGTGAAAATATCAGCAGAGTGGAATGAGTACAGGTTTTCAAATGAAACATCTAAGATGAAATTCATTGTTGGCTTTTCTATTGTTTGCCCTTATATCAGGTGGCTTTAAGAAATACCTGCCTTGGGGTGGCCGGTTAGTTCAGTTGGCTAGCGCACAGTGCTCATAACACCAAGGCTGCCGGTTCAATCCCCACATGGGCCACTGAGCTGCGCCCTCCACAACTAGATTGAAACAACTACTTGACTTGGAGCTGATGGGTCCTGGAAAAACACCCTGTTCCCCAATTAAAAAACAACAACAACAACAAAAAAAACCTGTTTAAACCCTTGCAGCGTTTTGTATGATTAAAATCCAGAATACCCTATGCTACAATGTGAGTAGTTTGTTACACGCATAATGATTTGAGATAAGTATTTCTTTCATGCTTGACTATAAGCTCCAGCAGAGCAGCCCATGTGTCTTACTTACTGGGGGAGCTCTGGCAGCTATGACATACTGAGGTATACAGTAGGTGCTCAGTGGTGGTGGGTCGCTGTTCAGGATGTGGAACCCTCCTCGAATGGGACTGAGGGCTCAGGGTGAATAGCAGCATGACAACCACCCCTACCCCAACCCCCAAGATTGGTTCATGCCTGTTGTGGCATCAAGAATACATATAATTTAGACCTAGTGTTCTAGAAGTCCTGAGGCCTGCCAGGAGGTCTCTGGAGTCTGGGCTGAATGCTTCAAGTGTGAGAGAAAATGACAGTCAGGTAGATGGATTCCCCTGTGAGGGCGGGAAGATAATTGATCTGGGAGAAATCGACTGTTCCCATGACACTTACAGCAACAAATTCCTGGAATAGGGAGACTTAATAGTACACAAACGCCAACCAGTCACAAATTAATATATAAGGAACTTCAACAAGATCACTGGTGGACTGGTTTTACGTATGTCTTTTGCTATAAAAAGGCAGAATAAAATAATTCTGGTCCTCACAGAATTGCCTAGAACTTAAAAAGCAAACAAATAAAAAAGAATACTTGCAAATTAAAAGAATAAAACAGATGTCTTTTTCTTTTTCAGCCTACCAGAGTGGATACACAATGTGGATTGTGAAAAGGATACTGCTAATGGGAGTATCAATCACGGTACCATCTCAAGAAACAAACTTAGATGCAATTAAAATGAACAATTATACTTTTATGAAGCCATCCTATGTGAAATTATATAATTACTGAGATTCGCTAGATGTGCGTGGGAAGGCAAGAGACGGGAGGTGTAAGCAAAACAAGCCTAGCTGTGCGTTGCTAAGTGTTGAAACTGGGCGATGGGTACATGGGAATTCCTTACACAGTTAACTCTGATTTTTTCCCAGATGTTTGAAAGACTCCATAATAGTAACTTAGAAATAATAAAAAAAAAATCTATCCTACAGTTATAGAATGAAGTATAAACAAAATAATAGCATCTTACAGGGAGCGTTAGATTCTAATTATTAGGTATTGTTAGATATTTTCCCTTAGAAATCACAGAAGAAGGAATCACATTGGAGAGAGACATACCATCCTCCCAGGAAATCCCAACACAAACCAATTCTTCCTCCAGGGTTGGAACGGGCTGCTGATTCTTTGGCAGAGCACCGAATGAAGTAACTGGCTTCGGCTCAGGGGCCATAAAAACTTACGACTTAAAACACTAGACTCACACTCCAGCTCAGCGGTGTTTACACAAAAAAAAAGCAAAAGGGAACTGAGAACAAGAACAGACACAGCGGAGTCACTGCTCCCCTGTCCTGAGTTCACTGAATGGAGTGGCAGGTGACTGATCTAGCCACACCACTCCCACCCTTTCATTGCTGTTGCTTACTCTCTGGCTTAGTTTTTCTTTCCTTCCTTTTTGCTAAACACTTGTATTTGAATTCCTCTAAGTTAAATGTGTATGGTACATCATCTGTGTATACACAGGGCTGTTTACAAGGGTAAGTTTGTTAAAAGAGGGGCAAATGCAATCAAACAGAATGTCCTGTACCAGTGGAATAACTGACTGAATTATAATGCTGTATACTTGAAATATTCTGCAGCTGTTAATACAAGCATGAACTAAATCAACATGTACGCTCTTGAAAAGATATTAATGATATGCTGGTAATTTTTTAAAAATATATAAATTGCCAAGGTTAGTGAATTTTTAAGGCCCCATATTTATACCAATATATTTGTGGGGGCAACAGAAAATCTGAAAATACTGGGGGTACTAATAAAATGTACACCTTTTAAGAGATGTTATCTATGTATTACTTTTCGAAGTTGAATTGAATTATGTAGCAATGTGTAGTAGGACATCCGCTCAAAAGATGGCGTTAATCAAATGGATGCTAGCGTCACTCATTGTATTACAATTTTAATACAGTTTTTTTCCTTTCTTAAAATCTGTATACACTCTTTGGCCCCCTCTGTAGATACACCAAATCATTAGTACAGGCTATCTCAGGGCGATGTGTCTGAAGCGGTGGAGAGGAAATTTAACTTTTCCTTCCTATCTCCCTATGGTTTTATTACTAAATGACATCCGCAAAATTTTAATTGTCTAAAGGAAGTTCTTATAACTATCACTCACCAATTATTTCTTGTAGAAAATTATTACAGGTATAATTCTTAGGGGGAAAAAATACGGGCTTTAAATTGATCAAAATTCGTTAAAAAGAAAAACAGGAAAGCTTTCAGTTTGTTGATGTCCTGACAATGTCTCTGTAAACGACCTTTCCTACGTGAAGGACAGAGACGTGTCAGAAGTCCACACTGCTGGCTGCCTGGACCTTCCGTCAGCCAGGCATTCCAGCTTAGAGGGGACGGGTGGGACCCCGCCTCACTTCTCTCGGATAGTCCTTCCCTGAACTTCTCAACATCAACAGAGGCAGCGGTCAATACACAGAGTTAATCCATTTACCCTCTACCTGACCCCAACCCCCTCCCCACACACACACAACCCCCCACACACACACTGAAGCCTCTGACGCATTTAAACAAAGTTTCTTTCGAATTTTTAGCTAAACCTCCAAAGCCAACACCTGTTTCTAAATGATGAGAAGTCTGGGCAAGAACCCTGCAGCCTACAGGCTGTCTGCCAAAGGTCTCATCCAGGCCCTGGGGCCTCCATTCCAGCAGCCTGGGCCAAGAGGCCCAGTCAGCCCGAGATCCCACATTCCAGGGTAACCCAGAGAGCTCAGCTGCAGAGATAGCAGAGGAAAGAGCCGGAGCACCGGTTCAGTCTAGACTCCCTTCTTTTGTATATTTCCTCTTCGGGGTGGGGGACAGTAATCTAAGAAATGTACTACATGCCCATTACTCGTCAGGTTCTCTTTTCTACCTGTTAGACTGAGAAAACAGTATATTCTCCAAGTCTGCAATATAAATTGTCACCAGCTTGCACAACCAGCGTGCGGCCAGAGAACCCAGAAATCTGTCGACTGCAGCAGCCCGTACAAAGCACATACCCAGTTTCCTGGTCCATAACTCTAGACCTATGTCAACACAAGTTAGTATAAATGACTCCACTGCAATGCATTCCTGAATGGTTTTTTTTTTTTTTTGGGGGGGGGGTTTGTGGTCATGGTGATTTTGTTTATCTTTTTCTCCCCCTGCTAAACAATTAGTTATTTTAAAAAAATTTTAATTGAGGGCCAGCCAAGTGGCTCATTGGTTAAGAGTTGGCTTGGGAGTGCAGGCTCTGAGCAGCAGGGCCGCCAGTTCAGATCCCACATGGGCCAGTGACGCTGTGCCCTCTACAGCTAAGATGGTGAACAATAGCTCGACCTGGAGCTGGGCTGCCGTGAGTCGCTGGCAATGGCATAGGCTGCCGTGAGCTGCTGTGAGCGGCCGGCCATCTGCCTCAGCTGGGAAGAGCACAATGATCATAATACCAACATGGGCAAGTGAAGCAATGTCCTCCACAACTAGACTGAAGAACAAAAGGACAGCAACTTGTCTGTTCCCCTTTCCCAATTCCCCAACGCGGTTCCCTCCACCAATACCCCAATAAAATCTTTAAAAAAAAAAAAAACAACTTAATTGAGATATAATTGACATGTAACAGTGTATCTGTTTTAGATATACAACATACAGATGTGATGTATGCATATATTGTGAAATGATTACTACAATAAGTTTAGTTAACATTCATCATTACACATTTTTTTATAATATTTTACAAATATTACAATTTTTTTTTCTTGTGTGAGAACTTTTAAGATCGACTCACTTAGCAACTTTCAAATATACAAAACAGTATTGTTAACTATAGTCACTATGATGTACATTATATCCCCAGGACTTATTTATCTAATAACTGGAATTTGATACCTTTTGACCGCCTTCACCCATTTTGCGCACCCTGATGCTGCAGTGTTAAGAAGCTCCCTCAAATGCTAAGTTGTTTTAGGAGAGGAGTTAAAGGATATAAGGTTTATCTCTGTATATGCCATAGACTGTTGCATTTAAAAGAGCCATTATAATCTATTATTACTTGGGCTACAAAGTCATCTGAACAGCATCTCAAAGGAGGAAGTTTGGTGGTGCTACTTTTATGGTTTAATAATTCACTTGGATAATAAGTCACTGTGTTTCATGACCTTGTAAATTCTCACAACAGGTATGAGATAATTGGTAAAACAGTAAGCGAGGATCCAAGCTCTAGAACTTCCAAAAACTTCAGCTTGTGAGGCAGGAATCAGAAGAATCCTAAGAAAATAGTAAGCTGCCCTAGCATGAGCACCGTCCCACCCTGTTACTTTGCCTAAAGAACATTTGCTAATGAGCCAAATCCCCAGGCAAAAGCTATAAATCCATCTGGAACTAAAATCAGCAAAACAGTAAACTCCAGACTCTCATTACTTAAATCATAGCTATGTAAAAATAATAACACATTTTTCCTTCACAGATCCCTCATTTTGCCAATTCTTATGCAGTCCTCAAAACTAAAAATGCAAAACTCTCAAAAAGAGATAATAAAAGCACTGAAATAAAATTGTTTGCAATCCAGTTACAAAACAGGAAAATGCAACTGATTTAATTTGAAGGTATGAGTACATGAAATCAATCTTTTATTTAAAAATATAAATTAGGCCATATATCTGTTCCCTCAAAATTAATGGGCACATTGGAAAAGTTTGCCAAGAAGCAGGAGTACTTTTCCCTGCTCTCACAATTGATTTGTAGTCCTCTTCCTTACTTTACAGATGAAATAATCTCACTATTTAAGACCCATTAGCTTTTTCAAAGTTAACTTGAATGAAACAAAGAAACATTCTAAAAAGCCACAGAGAAAGAACCGGCACAAATAATCATTATACTAGAAATTCTACCTGAAGTCCTGTATTTCATCCTGCACCCGATTCCCAAACTGCTCTTCCCTAAAATTTGATTTTATGCCATTTTCCCACATAAATGTCTTTCAGTGGCTTCCTATGTTGAATCAGTTCTAAGCCTGTCTGTTTTTTATACACTCCCATATAAAGCTCTATCATAGATAATCAGCCTTAATTCTTATTACTCCCAGAGCCTCTGCATTTTAAAAATAAAAATATATGAGATGGCTTATACAAAGTTCTACATTTATATTATACATAAATATAAATATATAATAAATAAATATAAACGTTAAATAAGAGACATAGTTAATTCAAATTTTAATTAATCCTCATAATAATTGAGGTACTATGAATCCTTTACAGATAAAAACCAGAAAAGCTTCAAAAGTGAAAACCATCCAAAATCACAATGTCAAAGGCATGATTCAAATGGTCATTTTACTAATACCACTGGCATTCTTGACATACTGACTTCGCTCTTCCACCTCCAAGCATCATTTGCAAGGCTTCCTTTCCTTTCTAAAGATCCAAATCTCTGCCATCAGCTCAAGTTTTACTGCTTCCAAGAAATATTCCCAGACTAGCAAAGCTTTCAGTCATAGTTCTCAATACACACACGTTCTCTGGGGCATATTGTCCATCGTGTGTGTCCATGTGTGCTGGGATGTATTTTGTGTTCTGATGACATTTCACCTACCTCCATGATTCAATTCCAAGCTCCTCATCCCCTACCACTTCAGTTGCTACTCTACAGTTGCTACTTTACTATCAAACATATCATAGGTATTCATAAGTATGTGGGGACTGGTTCAAATTTTCCTTGTATCTTAAGAGAAAGAAAGAAATACTTACAGTCTAACCAGATTGGTAAGTCCTCGAAATATGTCTGCATTCAGACATCCTATTCGATTATTTGTCAGATCCCTAAGGAGAAAGGGGGAAAACGTGTCTTCAATTAGTTCTCTTGGTCAATGAAGGTTTCATACTCTGAATATTCCAGAACAGCACCCAGGTGCCATACAAAACCTTTCTTATCAGCATCTCTGACATATTTACCTACATCCAGTGAGACACGGATGGCAATGATGAGAAAGTAAATAATCCTTACTTTCACTTACTGGCACATACAGGCTAAATGCTGCTTAATTATACTGCCTGCTGTATCTCAAGCATTTACTTCTGTGAAATGACTCAAGATAAAACTGGAGTACTACAAATGAGACTCAATCTATCTTACTGTCTGAGATATATTTCCTTGGATCACCTGCGCAGTTAATTATGCTGGGGGAAGAGGGGGAGCAGAGCCAAATCTCAGCCACCATCTAACGGGTAAGAAGGCTAATTATCAAAATAAATGCTGCAACTTTTATAATATTTCCTCAAGAACATCTGAAATGTAACGCTTTCTAACTACACTCCTTAAATATTCAGAAGTTTGGAGTGTCATGAAAACACAACTGACTTAGCTTTTACTTTATAGATCTATCATTTAGTCTCCAAGTCAAATTACTTTTAACAATATCTAGGCAATGGCCCAATTATTTTTTTTCCAGTCACTCCTAACATCTTATAGTTCCCATCAAATGTTACTTTCTAAATATTTTTCCTTCTCAATCCATGAAAATCATTCCTTTTTATCTAGTGAAATGTTTAGTAAATATTTTGTTCTTTCTTCATTATTTTTCTTCACTCCAAAGACAGTGAACACAAGTTTACTCTTTAATCAGGAGATGACATTTTAATTGGGAGATAATCGATAATTTCTGTAACCTTCAAATAAGATGGTATGGCTTTCATCATTTTTTATCAGTGAACTTAGTAAACTACATTGCAAGAAAACCCTACAACAATGAATCTTAATTTTTATCGGTTCTTTGATTTGGAATTATTTATCCCTTGACTCTCAATAAAAGAATTAGAACAAGCTTTCTAAAGCAAACTTTCAAATATATTTTTATCACATTTTCTTCAATGTCTACATTATCCTTTGTAATGGGAAATTACACATTCTGTGAGTTACACTCTGAATTACACTCTTTAGAGAAGCAATTTGCACCACCCACTTCTAAACTAAAACTGTTGGATTCTCAATTGTGCACTTGGTAATGGAAGAAAATGTATTAGTCTGATGAGAAATTACAAGGACACAGCATTTGAGTCAGGTGCCTATTCACGATGGTTTTCACTGAGATATTTTGCAGTTTAGGTAATCCTGGTATTCCATAATTTCACAGTTCTGCCTTCCCTTTCTTATGGCAACTTTTGATGAAAGAATATTAAGCAATACAAGCATTTATCTGCAGTTGCTATTCTCCAGCTCCTCAGACTATTAAAGCTAAGAATTTAATCGTGTAGGACTATTTTTTTTTAATACTAGCTGATTCTCCTTTTAATTCTGGGTTTTACTGTTTAAGAAAATGAGGTATCATCTTGTGAATTGTTGCTTAAACAAGCATTTCTGGGCTCTATTCATTATCGTGTCTCATTTCTAAGCTTTAAGTGGTGTAATTACCATTGATTCTTTGGGAAACAATTTCATTATAGTGATATCTGTTTAAAATGGTATTTAGGTATTGATAATAGGTGTTCATTTGGATTGAGAATCAGCTGGAATTTGTTGCTAAAGCAAAAAGACACGGAGTGGGTCTGGGTTATACCTACTTCTGGTAGTTTATTCTGCAGAAAGCCACTTAATCTTCCTGATTCAAATTATCTATAAAATAGAGGCAAAGGCATGGTACACTTACAAAAGCACTTTACGCGTGGCAATCAAGTGAGATGCACCATTGAAATGAGTGATGTAAGGCCCCATAAGAAAAAGTTTCTGTATCTAGAAGAAACTATCAAATACTACTGTGGAATATCTTTATATCTCATTGAATTACATATAAAGACTTGTTCAGCTTGCAAGCTGTACACTGTGAGTTCAATTACAAGTCAGCTGTTTGGAATTAAGAATATATTTTCTAGTGGGAAGTACATTATAAATGGCAATTACCTTCCCAGGCAAGAACACAAGAGACTACTTAATGTGTAATGTAATGAAAAATGCTAAGGAAATGCCTGGTACAATATTAGTAATTAAATGCTACTGAACAAGAAATTTATGTATTTATTTTGGGTGGCAGTACTTGAGACATTACTGGAGGATAAAGAACTAGATGGAGAACCTAAGATATTCGGCAGTGTCCTTAAAACATCCTAATGAAACTGCTTTTTATGAACAATCCGGTTTCCTTCAACCTCTATGTTGACATGGAGATACTGTTAGCATTAATCTTTCTAAGAAAAAAAAAGCTTGTTTAAAAAAAGCTGTGAGTACAGTGGTGTGGACCACAGAGAGGGAAAATAAGTGATCTTGTCTGGCAGTATGACATCACAACACTCCCCTTGGAAGAAAAAAAATACTGGATGAAAAATATTCTAGAAGTTCTCACACTTCAGCATCAGAATCACCGGGAGAGACAGTTAAAGCAAAGATGGTTTGACCTCGGCCCCAGAGTTGCTGAGAGGGCAGGTCGAGTACCTACACTCAGCTTCCTACTTGAGGACTCATGTTCCCAGGCATAGGTTCAAACTGCCCCATCCAAAGATGGCGTCAGTTGACCCCTGGGTAGAAGCACAAAGTGACTTGCTGTTAGAAGTCAAGCTCCTTTAGCTGCTGCCTCTCCATGGTTGCACTCCATGCTCCGCCAGTGCCAGTGTGGCTGAGTCCTAACCACTTCCAAGACCCTTAGCAGCTGAACTCCAGCCATTGCTCCGTCTCTCTGTAAGTAGAGTCAAGTCCATGCCCAGGCTGTTGGTTGGTGCGTGTGACTCCATCAGGCTGCAATCCCTCCAGGGGTTCCCGAGTTACTCTGTATCTCTGGAGCCTGGCTCCTCACTGTTGGGCACAGAATGGACTCAAGGATTCGTGTGCAACCGAACAGATGCTGACCTCTGTCTTTCCACTTCATGTCGCTAAGCCTGGTGGGCAGTACTTTTATTGCAAACTAAACCCTGATCCACTGCAACTCTGATGCCTACCTAATACCCACCTCCCCCCCCCCAACTCTTATCTTCCTTATTTAAAACTCTGGTTTCCATAAAGACCACTGACCTACCCCAGATGGGCCAGTTTTTCTGGCGTGTTTCATTAAAAAGCCTTCACTGGAAAACAGGAATAGAGTGAATGGGCAAGAAGAAACACCTGAGTTTCTTCGCGAGTGCACACAAGCCTGATAAACACGATGGACCGCCTCAACCAGGATGGACCACCCATCCTCAACAAGGGCTATGGTAATAAAATCCCTACACACGATGGACCACCATCCCCTATCCTCAACAAGGGCTATGGTAATAAAATCCTTAAACACAATGGACCACTATCCCCCATCTTCAACAAGGACTATGCTAATAAAACTCCCGATGCCAGAGTCTGACTGAAATTTTAAATAATGTTAAAAGACTAAGAGAGAATCCTTTAACGCCTACTATGCGCAATCATTCTGACTCCCAAGAGGGGGAACTCAGAGGAGAGCTAAGATAGAAAATTTTAGATGAAAGATAATTTTACTTGCCAAAGTAATTAAAAAAAAATCCCTGCAAAAATAGCATGGCCTATTCTTAGAACTGGATCTGACTATAAAGATGAACAGATTTCGAATGACAGAATAAGAGATATAAAATGGCAAAAGTAAAAGTATTAGAATGGAAGGCCAGTGTCAACATTTAAGTAAGTCGTGGCATAATTAAACTAAGACCAAACGTAGCTGGTTTTATTATATATATTATAGAAAACAAGACATACATAATAGCCAGGTACCTTGAACGCTTTAAAATAAATAAATAAATAATAAGAAAGCATGATAGAACGGAGAGGAGGGAGGGAGAGAGGGAAAGAGAGGAGGAAAGAGAGGGAGAGAGAGAGGGAGAGAGAGAAGGAGAGAGAAGGAGAGAGAGGGGGAGAGAGAGACAGGGGTGAAAGGATGATGTTAGACAAAGGAAGCATGTGCTGGTCTCTCTCCCCAATGCCTTTTGTCCCTGGTTCTCTGCACTTAAGTGGTTTCTCCTTACTGTCATCAGAAATATTCTGAAACACCAACTTGGTCATGTCAAGTCCACAGTTAAAAAGTTCTGCTAGTACCCCGTCTAAAAAATAGATTTGGAATTTTTTAACACAGCAGTAGGTCCATTTTGTCCACGGAAGCCTTAGTCCCTCCCTGAGCAGCCGTACCTCCCAACATTCTTTCCCCGTCTCTACTTCATGCTCTGGCCAAAGAACTAAACTACCGTCCCATGAGACATGTTCTTGCACACCTATGCCCACTCTTCCATTATTCTTCAATACCAGGAGCAAGGTCAAATCTAAACGTTGGTTGCTCTTGAGGTAGCCATTCCCTTTGCAGGTGGCCCCCTCTTTTTCCTGGAAGATTCTTATTATATCTGTTATAGCACATGTGCATGATGTATTCTCATTATCTATTTGTCCCTAAGAATCTGTGAGCTCTTCCAGGGAAGTCAGAGTATGGCAAGCGCCCAGCACATAATAAATGTCTTCAGAAGGAACAAAGGAGGGCAGGACAGTCCCCATGGCTTGAGTGTAAGGTTACTTCTCAACTATGAGCATGCTTACATAGCAAGTGGGAGGCAGCACGGGGGTGGGGGTGGGGAGGGGATTTCGTAGCTTCAGAATTAATAAAAACTGGTCTTTAGGTTTTGAAACACTACATAGATAAAATATACATGAAAATGACAAGACGTTAAATCACTAACAGAAAGGGGCCTCAACTGATATGGCATTTACAACAGAAAGAGTTTGAACGCATTCAAACCATCGACAGATGATGACACTGGGTTGTCGGAAAAGTCATGACATATTTTTTTCTGTTTTTCGTTGCAAAAATGCGTCATGACTTTTCTGACAACCCAATAGCTGGCAAAGCCAAACATAGCAATGATTTTATTAGCGTAAGGGGAACACAGTCATCTACCAGGATACAAATCAAATCACTATACAAATTAACAACCTTCTAAGCTACTTACATTAAATACTACAATGTGTATCACAGACCTGGCCAGATGAACTTCTAAAAATTATTAAAAACCCATTTTTTTTATCGTATTAAAACAGTTACTTATAAAAGAAACAGTTTAAATTCATAAGCAAACATTCAAACACTTACAATCTTTTTAGTGATGACAGTCCCCAAAAGGCACCTGGATCTATACTACTAATAAGATTATTTCGGAGGTCCCTGTTAAAAATAAAATAAAAAGTTACTTACATATTAACACTCTAACAAATATTTAGGCACATTGCACTTACCTGCTATACAGAAAACAATAACAATGGGAGGAAACGGAAGCCAAAAAGTTTAAGCCAGGACCACCTCAGCAGTAAGTGGCAGAGCCAGGGTTCAAATTCAAGGAGGCTGGTTCCAAGGCCATTTGTTTTGGTCAATATAAGAATAAAGGTATATGCCAAAAAAGATATGTGAAGCATAATATTATTCAAATTCAAAGTTATCACTAAACTACAACCCTATACATTATTTCTATCATTTCTTTCTTAGTATGTTATACTTTAGTTATCAAAATAAATCAGTGATTGGATGTATGACAATTAAAAGTACAGCTGAAACTAATTTTTAAAAATGTGTATTTCACAATAAAAAATAATAATAAATCAAATTGTTTTAAACCCCTTACAGAAATATTCATATATACGCTAAAATTCATATTTGGTTGTTCCTATTTTGTCCTCCCTGGGTGTCTATGGTTAGGTTTCCTATAAAACAAATATGTGATGACTCACGATATACGGCTCACAGCACAGACTCAGCAGTCCCTTTCCAAGTGGCCCCTGGTGGCCGTCACAACCGACGCCCATTCTTCTCGTGTGCAGCCCTCCCTTCCATATCAGGACACGATGGCTGGGTGGCAGCAGTGAGCGTCACAGCCACATCCCTTCACCAAGGTGGCTGTGGGCCACCTGCTAAGGCTGCTGCTCTCCTCTGGGTGCCTGGGCTCAGCTGGGGGCTCCCAAGTCACCCGAGAGTCTGGTTAGACCTCGCAGAAGCTGACAGCGTTCGGAGCGCTCAGAAGCAGACCTGAGCCCACTTCCCCCGACCACATTCCAGCCGGTGGTGGGCCCCACCAGCACTGTCAGACACCCGAGCGGGGTGTCACTCACCCCTAACCTTGCCCACCATAGTCCCCAGTGGCCTCTGGTCATCTCTCAGGGCACCTGGGGTCAGACTGAACAGAAACTCTTCCCAACTTCTCTCCTCCTCGCCTTCCCTTTTTACCTGGCAATAGCAACTCTGTGTCTTCCGGTAAGTGTGAGCTGTCACTCCTCACAATTAGACGTGGCTGAGGGATGCACAGAGTTGGTGAAACAACCAGAAACGCAAAGCCACACCCGTTCCAAACCCAGGGTAGCAGGTACCTCACGGGTTCCTTTAGCCCCTTACTTAGCTGAGATTTTAAGGGCCTTCCTGAATCCTGGACCACTGGGGCCACCTGTTATCACAGCACTGAGGTGACAAGTCTGTGGGATCTTTTAACACTATTGCTCCATCACAGGCATTCTAGCCCGTGCCCAGACAGTCTAAATTACTTCGAGAAACGCCTGTGTGCCTCCTCTAACCCCTCCAACTCTGAGAGCATCTGACTTCCCCTGTCTACCTGCGCTTGACACAAGGACTCCAGCGGTCCTTCTACAGTGAGCAGTGACCCACGCGTGTTCTTCCATCTGACTAGGGAGGCACATTCAATTTCACTGTCCTGTTGGCTAATGCAAACTGTGTGAAGCATGGCCCGCTTCATAACACCCTTTTTTTTTTTTTTCTAATAGCTCATTTTAACTATCGATATATGCAAGTTACAACACTGGAGCTGGTTTCTCGATTTCCCAGAAATCTCACAAAAACATCCTGATGAGACGGCCCTCTGCTCATCGCGGGGGTCGTCAGCCATATACTGCGAGCCAGCCGTTCCTGACTGGCCTTCACCCTGTGGCTTCCCACACTATCTATGCTGTTCATACATGGTGACTGAGACAGAAGAGAAATTCTGAGGAAAGTTTCTGTGGAGGTACAACCCGTAAATCCTGGGCATGGTGTGCCCTCCTGCAAATCCTGCTCCACCTTCTCATGCCTTAATCCCACCCTGTCACATCAGGCGTTCTTCAGTAGCTAGGGGCATATCCACATACCCCCACCCCCAAATCAGAGCCAGGATTCTAAACAAAGCTAAACACCCCGCCAGCACTTTGCAATTCTGAAAAAATAAAATAAAAAGGAAACTACTATCAAACATAGTATAAAATCTACGCTCTTATTACCATCACAAAATAAGTATTTCATTGATGGCAACTCAGGTTTTACATTCCACAAGAAGAAAACAGCTCTGTCAACGGTGGTAGCTGCCCTAACGTTTTTGGTTTCTGAACCGCAGCCTCTAAGTTATTTTCTAAATAAAGTAACTAAACTTATCTGAACAGGCCAAGAAGCTTCAGGAAATACATATAGATGATGATTAAAAAGTGTTAGAAGAAATTTAGGTAAAGTCACAAACCCTACCCATCTCTCCGGACTTCCAACCAGACTTTAAGGTCTCCCCTAAACTGTGAGTAAAACAAATGGGCCCTGCTAGAGCAATTTCAACAGAAAAAGAATCATGCAGGAAATAAATTCCGTTATAAACACCATGGCCCAGCATCCCGTGTCCCCAGACACCTGCTTGGGGGCCCACTGACAGCAGCACTACCCTTGTTCCTCCACATGCAACTCTCCCCCACGGGCTTTCTCTTGGCCAGCTCCTAGGAGCCCCTCCAGGAAGGTCCGAGTGAAGGGCATGACTGGCCCTGGGAAGAGCCCTTACCCCAGTGGGGAAGTGGAGTAGGATACCCCAGCTTCCTGGGGCCTGAGGGGCCTGAGCTGTGTTCCCCTGAGGCACCACACTGTGGCTTCCTTCCCTTCCCTTCACTGTCCCACTCCCAATTCCGAGAGCTTTCTGGGACCACCTCCCAAAGAAACCACCTGAGCTCAAAATGTCAACTAAGGAGACCCTTCCCGGCCACTCCATTGTGAGGGCATACAGCAGAAAGGGAAAGGTTAGAAGAAAAAAAAAATCAAAACTTTTTGGGTAGGTAAAAGTGGGGGAGGGTTCTAACTAAACAAGATTCCACAATGTAACAATGATAACAGCTATGGTTGCAATCAATTACTTAATGTCAAGTCACTGTGCGAAGCATAGTTTTTGGGGTTTTTTTTGTTTTGCAGCCTTTTGCCTTGCTTTGGGGGCAGTACCCCTAAGTCTCCCAAAGACCGTGGGGTGCAGACGGTGCTTAGAACTCCCAGCCCCACCCCTCCAGGTGTGGCACTTGATCAAGCCCCGTCCAGATTTTTCAGATGTTCCAGCCCTAGTAACTGGCATGACACATCACCCTGGTCAAGTAAACCTAGGACCTGGGGGAGGAGATCATTTCTACTGGTTTGATTAGAGGTCAAGGTGTGAGCCTGGAACTGTTAGCAACCCTCTTGCTACGTGATAGAAGAAGCTGTCTGATGAAGCCGACAGACAGGAAAAGAGAAAAAATGCTGAGCCCCTGGACCCAGCCACGCCTGAAGTCCAGCTCCTACTCTGGGCTCCCTAGTTACACAACAAATTCAGTGAGTTACTGTCTGTCACTTATCATACCATTAAGATGTCACAATCAATCATAGGAGGTATGAGCGTTGCTGTAGATGAGGAAACTCGTGCAGAAAGATTATAAAATTTGGCCAAATCCTTGGTGTTAGGAAGTGGCCAAGTCAGCAGTCAGGGTTGAAATACATCTTTCTGACCTGACACAGTAAAGACTTACAAAAGGAACCTAGTAAATGTATACCTAGAGCAAGAGGGAGACAGGTAAAGCAAACATGCCAAAAGTTGTCCATGATTAAATCAAGGTGCTAGAGGTTAAAAAAAATAAACAAAACGTCTGTATTTGTTTGAAAAAAATGTATAAGTTGAACAAAACATCATCCGTGGTATTGGCCATCCCTCCAACCATGTCTGAAAGCCCCCCACTTCTCTTTCTGCCTGTCATCGCCCCAGCCCAGGTCATACACCACCCGGTCCCTACTTGTGTCCGAGCTTCGCTCATCCATTGCCCATCCAAAGTGATCTTTCTGAGCACGAATCTGATCAAGTCCCTGTGCTGGATAAATCCTCCGAAAGCTCCACAGTCCCCTACGAGCAAGCTCGGACTCTCGGAAGTCGCCTTCACCCCAGCCACGGCCCTGGCCCTGGTCAGCTTTTCTCGCGTCCCATTCCGCCCCAGCACCTCCCTTTTACACTCACTAGCTCAGTCTCTCTCTCTTCATATACACTAGTCGTATTTCGAGATGTTTCTAGAGCCATGTTTCTCTCTCCTCTAGACCTTTGCACATGGCCTGCGTCGCTGACACTCACCCCACACACACACACAGCCTCCCTGTCCTGCTCCTCCTGTCTGACTCCTCCTCAGCCCTTAGGCCTCGGTGTCAACACTGTTCCTTCCTCTGGATAACAGTGCCCCGTGCTGTCCCTGTCACGGCCTCAACACACTGTACTCTGATTGCTTACACTGAGAGACCGGAAGTTCCACAGGGGCAAGGTCCATGTCTGTCTGTTCAATGAAGAGACACACAGACAGACACTCGGTATAGAGAGGGTAGATGGACAGTGCTATGGTCTGAATGTTTGTGTCTCCTCTCAAATTCATATGTTGAAATCCTAACTCTGAAGGTGTTGGAATCAGGTGGTGGTGCCTTTGGGAGGTGATCAGGTCAGGAGGGCAGAGACCAAAAGAATGAGATGAACGCCCTTATAAAAGAGTCCCCAGAGACTCCCTCGCTGCGCCCCTTTCTGCCATGTGAGGGTTCAGTGGAAAGACAACCAACTAGGAAGCAGTCCCTCCCTGGACACCCATCTGCCGGCACCGTGATCTCAGACTGCTGCTCTGTGAGAAGTAAATGTTTACTGTTTATAAGCCACCCTGTTTCTGGTATATTGTCACAGCAGCCAGAATGGAGTAAGACGGATGATAAATGGGTGAAAAAGTAAACCGTGGCTGGCTGAGAGACACAATTATATGACCTGAACTTTGCTACAAAAATCTTTTTTAATAAATTATGGTTAGCCACAAAATCATTAAAATATTCATAAAGTCAGGCAATGAAGAGACTACTGCGTATCACTCATAGCCACTTATACTTCTCAATACATGGAGAGGGTCATGATGTATGCAGCTGACCTTCAAGTTATTTAGCAAACGTGTATGTGTAGGCATAGTCCAACATTAAAAAAAAGACAGCAAATTGTTAATAATTATTGAATCTGGGTGAGTAAATTGGTGCTATGGGAGATTACTACATTATTCTTTCAACTTCTCTGTATGTTTGAAAAGTTTCATAACAAAAATTGATTTCTGTCCTCCACTTTTTAAGTCCCAGGAAGTATAATCAATCATCGGGCCCAATGTAATAGCTCCTACCTCCCCCTCCCCAACTGAGCCCAAGCCTACGCTTCAGGGAGGTAAGATTTTCGGAGAAAATTCAATCAGGGTATGTTTGACTTGCATTGCCTAACCTAAAAATCTCTGCAAACAGAAATATATAACGTCAGTTCCATTTTTTAGAAACATGTGTTTCCCTTTTCAGATTTTAAAAAGCGTCTAAGAACAGGAAATGATTTAGCTAAAGCACTACATAAATTTGTGTTCCATGATGTACTGCATGTGTTTCTACAAAATACCTCTCATGAATAACTAAGTACTGTAATATGATTTAAAGATACATTTTTTCTTTAATAATAAAAAAATGCTTGGTATAACATTTAATAACAGCCATATTAATCAAGCACTGCCAAAAGATATTTATAGTCAGTTCCTATCATTTCACATTCCCGTCACCAACCCACGGCTTCTCTAGTGAACATGAGTCTCATGTGAGGACGTAGAGCGAAATCTGAATACCTCGATCATTAAAACAAAAATGAAAAGATGCAATAGAATTACTTAAATGAAATTATGGAAATATTCTAACAGTTCTTAGAAAAAGAGGTACTAGCTTCTTCAGAAAAGAATACAAAGCATGTCAGATACGATGCTTTTTAACTGCAAGTTATCTGAAACCTCTTCTCAAAACACCTTCAATAATAAAGAAAATAATTCTCTGGCTTTACAGGAAATCAAGAAGTAAGGCAGCCTTGGCGGCTGGTCCCAACCATCTCTCAGGTCCACCTTCTTCAGGGCAGCTTTGCCTGCAGGTGACTCTCTATTATGATATCATATCCCAGGTCCAAACATTACGTCCAAGCACAAAATCATGAAAAAGAATGGAGACTTGCTTCTTGTATCTCCTTGGGAACGGGGAAATTGGTCTCTGATCCCTCAAGGCTAACTATCCCTCCTCTCTTATTGGCTGGGACTGGCTCTGTCAGTCACTAGAAAGAGATGCTTCAGTGACCTAGACGCATCATTTGGAGTGGGACGCTCACTGAGGAGTCAGACACGTTGACCACTATGCAGCTCTAGTGTCAGTAATTAGAGGATAGGGGAGTGTCACTGAATTCCGACAAATATGTAACACAAGAACGACAATCCTATAAAATGAAGAGGGAAGATGGGAGGACGGAGGGATGAGCGGGTGCCTTGAATGGATAAGTAACAAAAGTTCTCAATTCTGAACAGGCTAAATAATCTAAAAAATACCCCCAAAAAATTACCAAAAATTTGAGGGGAAAATTTACAGAAAGTATAAATTTTATACAGTTCTTTTAATAACAACCTACATTTCACCCTTGAACAACATGGGTGTGAGTTTTTAGGCTGAATTGTGTCCCCCCCCAAAAAAATTCCTATGTTGAAGTCCTAATACTTAGTATTTCAAAATGTGACTGTATGTGGGACTTTAAGGAGGTAATTAAGTTAAAATGAGGACATTAGTGCGGGCTCTAATCCAATATAACGAATGTCCTTATAAGAAGAGGAAATGTGGATACTTACACAGAGGGAAGACCATGGGGAGACACAGAGAGGAAGGCTATCTACAAGCCAGTGATCTAGCACAGAGCCTTTCCCTCGTGACCCTCAGAAGACACCAACACGGATGGCACCCTGACCTTGAACTTCCAGTCTGCAGAACCGGGAGAGAGAAACTCCTACCGTTTACGCCATCCTGTCCATGGTGCCTTGTGATGGAGCCCTAACACAGGCGAATACAACCACTGTCCTCACATAGATTGTGTCGGAAATACAGAGCGCCCAGGCCAAGTCCTGAAGCCCGCGGAGTCCGGGAGAGAAGCCACCTGTAAGCCATGGATCGCAGCAGGAGATCCGGAAGCAAAGCGGAGTCCAGGAGCAGAACCTTACAGTGGTGGAAACCACAGACGAGCGCAACTAGAGCTCAAGGACACAAAGGGCGAGTTACCCTGTGGGTTCGGTCACAGGACGAAGACGGCAGGGCGGGAGGCAGAACAGGTTAGTAAGTCCGGGAAGCAGGTTGAGAAGGGAAGTAAGGACAGCCATGGAAACAGGAGGACGCAGGAGTCAAGAGATCATGCTGGGAGATGGTACAGACGTGACTAAGTCGACAGAGGCTTTCCTTGAAAAATAGCAACTCCAATCAAATCAGAGAGCGGCACACGGTAAAAACTATAAATATAGTAATGACGGCGCTGGGCTCCAGGGGAACGCAAGCTCCCAGCCCCCTTCCATTCCCAGAAGCCTCCGCGCCAACACCCATTTCCGCGCCCAGGAGGAGGCATGGGGCTGCTCCAGGGACGGTCTGAGAAGATATGAATCAGCCTTTCATCATGAACTCCTGCCAAAAGGGTCACGCAACTGACGATGGGATCGCTTTGGTCTGTCATGCGCTGTGAAAATTAAGTGAAACAAAGACCAGGGGAGTTTCCACAGGAGGCCTGGTAACCTCCGTTCTCAGGCCTGTTCAGCCTCCAGTCCCAGCGGGAACCTGGAGCAGAAAGGATCTGGGCTCAGGCCCACAGACAGTGGCCCGATCCCAGGGTGCTTCCTTTGTCACCACCGTCCCCCCTCTGCTTTCCTCTCAGGGCCAGAACAGGAACAGCCCAGACCCAACCGGGAGCAGGGCAGCCTCTAGACTAGAAGGACAACCATCCTTCCTGATGACAGTAAAGAGAGTCCTTTCCCCAAAGCCCCAAGCAAATAGCTCAGTTAAATGGATCAACGGCCCATTGCTGAATCAGTGACCACGGGATGTGGGGGAAGGGCTGTCCTTAGCCAGGTCAGGCCTGGAGCTGAGGCGCCGCCAGCATCATGAACTATGTGAAACACCACAGGAATGCTTGAATGAAAACAGCTAAATCAATCAGTCAATCAATCAATCAATCTATCAATCTGAGACTTAGGCACTGCTGGGCCAAGCACATTTTATTTATGTGTATGTGTGTGTATACCCATGTGTGCGCATCTATGTATATATACGTATTTCTGTATACATATGTAAATATGAATGTATCAAATGTACTGCTATATGTTATATAAATGCACATATATAAGCTAACTCAAAGATATTGGAAAACTACGCGAAAAGAACAGACACACGCAAAAGGACGGGGAAGAACACAGATGGCGTATGCATAAATAATGCATCAGTGATGAGAGCAATAGTCCTGTGGGAGGGAGTCCAGTTGACAGAGAAGCCAGCAGGTGGAACTGTCAAGGAAAGAGCGCCGGGAAGGAGAAAGAGAGAAGCAGAGCAAAGAGAGCTGAGAAAATGAGGAAAGTCTGTTATTCAACAGAAGTGGAGAGGCTCACAGTGTGGTTCCCTTATGCATTAAAGGCTGGTCTCCTTGATGTATGAGTAACATGGGAATTTGAAACACAGTCCTAGAATAGCATTCAGAAAAAAAGGCAAATTAAATACCACTGTGCAAAACTCACCAAAACAATAAATGAGTGCTACCTGTAACACATCCGGTCATCAGCAAAACTGGACCTAATTGCTAAGCAAAACCCTATGATTCACATAGGACACATCTGGATAAAATATCAAAGTCACTCTAAGTTTATCCCCCTTGATGTGCTGTTTAAATTCTACTTGACTATTTTATGGGGCATACACATTTCATAGCAATCTCAAAACAGCATCTGGGCTCTAAAAGCCAGTGGCCATATGATCCGTGGCCTTTTTTGTGAACAAAGTCGCCTCCACGTTGATTCATTTATTTATTATCCATTGTTGCTTCCTCACTACAATGGCAGAAACGAGTCATTGCGACAGAGACTTTATAGAACACAAAGCCTCAATTATTGGCTATCTGGCCCTGTATAGAAAGCTTGCTTTAACTAGTGGTTTCTTTTAAACTTATTTTTCAATTACAGTTGACATATAATATTAGTTATAGGTGTACAACATATGATTAACATTTAACTACTTCACAAAGTTAACCAACCCGATGAGTCTAGTATCCATCTGGCACCACAGTTACTACACTATTATTGACCATATTCTCTATGCTGTACTTTACATCCCATGACTATTTTGACCATATTCCCTATGCTGTACTTTACATCCCATGACTATTTTTATAACTGGAAATGTGTACTTCTTTATCCCTTTCATCTTTTTTACTCATTCCACCAACCCCTGCCCATCTGACAACCATCAATTTGTTCTCTGTATCTGAATTTGTTTCTGTTCAGTTTGTTTGTGGGTTTTTGTTTTGTTGTTGTTTTTTTTAGATTCTACATATGAGTGAAATCATAACTAGTTCTTTAAAACTCAATTCTTGAATTTTTCCTAATAAAATGTTGGAAAAACTCAATTTTTAAAAATTTGGGAGTTTAGTAATAGATTTACAATGAAAATGCATTAAGTAAAATAACAACAAATGATAGTAACAAAAGAATACTCACAATCTTTCAAGGAGACTTAGCCCAGAAAATGAGCCATTCTTCAGCTCGGATATTTTATTGTTACTCAGAATCCTAGAATGACAGAAAAATAAAATGTAGGTTGCCTAATATATATATACCATCAATATAATATCAAAGTAATTTAGCGCATTATGTTTAAACCTATGAGGAATTCTAAGAAGTCATTTATTACCCCCCAAATTTTTGAGGTGCCTGACAAGAAAAAGGAGCCTCCTTCTCTTTTTTTGAAAAACCACCTAAAAGAGCTCACTTACATATGTCCTCTAAAATTGTCCTATCAACACTGAACCAAAATCTTTAAAATAAAAAGAGAACTCAACACAAAATAGCTCTTAGTTCACTGTAAGAACAAAGAATGCCACATACATTTATATAACTTACATGAATTAAATACTTATTTAAAAACTGGAAACTTAATATAAAAATGTGTAATATGATCTATAAAATATTGACCATACAAAGAAATAATGTACCCTCTAGATATCACTTCAATAATGCTGAATATCATTTGTATTTTAACGGTATGCAAATCTACACACCTGTGCGTGTAAAAACTTTCCAAAGCCACTCCCATACAGACAGACACAGGTAGCTGTGTCACAGTATTATACCTAAGTATCAAGACAATGTCCTTAAAAATAGGAACTGAAAACAAAAATTTATTAAAATAAGTCAGAGCCGAGCCACCCCCACGGCAGGACTTGCCTCAGAAGAGACTATGTCTACATGAGCTTGCTTCCCCTCTCGGCTATGTCACTACGCACCTTTTGAAGCTTAAATACCAATAACGAGTTTTCATACATAAAGTGAGAATGCTAAAGCCACCTGATTTGGGCCGTGGGGATATCACGTCAAGACGGTGAGAAAACCAAGGCATAGAAGAGTTACATTAATAGCATAAGACTGCATTAGCAAACGGCAGGACCAGATGGGGACCCCAGGAAATCTCTACTCCAAACCCCACATTCTCCAGCCTATGCCCACGTTAGTCAGGAGACACACATGGCATCGTGGGTAGAAAATTCTCCATCGCACAGTGCTGCACAACGCAGAGCACCCTCCACACTGGGTCCAAGGTTGAGTGGGATCCGCCCTCTTTCTGGACAGCGTAGCACAGAAATTCTATGTATATACAACTTTAACAGAATTCGTCTGAGTCGTAAGATGTCAGGTACATTTTTACTTTTTGTCTACCTTCATTATTCAAAAAAAAACCTTTATTTGCATTAAAACAAAAATACCCATCTGATATCTGATTTTCTTCGGTAGTGGAATAAAAAAAAAATCCCTACTCATGCAGATGAACATTTCAGAGTGTGTTCTGTGGGGTGATTATTAGAAGCTACTCTCATCACGTATACCAGTGTTAGATAGAATCCCAGCTCTATCGTTTTCAAGTGACACTGATCTTGGGCACGTCACCTCTCCTGTGTGTTGTGTGTAACAGAGTTCCGTCCTTCCTAAAATGGGAAGGATGATATCTACCTCGTAAACACTAGAAGGAAATTAGAAAATGCATGACACACTCAATGAGTGAGTATTCATTAAATTTCTGATTCTATTTCTCTGGTGCTAAGACACACACCCTCCCTCATTTTAATGTTTCTTGCAATCAAAGTACACTATGTGTAGTGTGTGGCCTCTCCCCAAAGCTGTTACTAAAGCAAAGACAGGCTTTGACGATGGGGACCAAGAAAACCTGGTGATCCAAAACATTTCAATTCAAATGTAACACCATGTTCTCTAATCAGAATTGCAAAAGTGTTTAAAAATGAGGTAGATGCCACAGGCAAGAGCAAACGCAGACTGGTACATGCCCACAAAGGTCACAAAACAGGCTTCCTCAAGCAGCCTGGCAGTGCCCACCCCAGAGCCTCTGACCTCCTATTCCAGATATCAACCCTAAGCTAACAAGTCACCCATCTGACAAGAAGTATATTCAGTGACCTATTTCAGCATGACTTAGAACACAAACATTAGAAACCACCAAAGAGGCCACTTTACGTTAAGAGGAAGAAGTAAACTGTGGTACACCCAAACAACAAAATTTCACACATCCATAAAAAAATTATTCTACCAAAGGAAACCTGATGAAAAAGAAAATGCTTACAGTTTCAAAGCGAACAACAAAACTGAGACCGTGGATTGAAAACCATGGATTATTTAAAAACTGGAAACTTAATATAAAAATGGATTGAAAAGAATCTAAGCAGAGACCACAAAAAGAGAGAGAAGAAATACATCAAAATGATCCCTCTCTTAGTGATGAGGCTTCCAATAGTGTCTCTTTTGTTCTTTATATTCTTGCAGTACCTTCTGAAACATCTAGAATATGACTTGTTTTTAAAACATTTTTTCTGCTGATGATAAACATAAGAATCTTAATAACTAAGCATAGCTAAACATTGAATGAATTTTGAATACAATTATATCTTAGCAATAAAAACTGAAACAAGGAATACTTTATACTTTGGGATTAAAGATTCATGTTTATTTATATTCAAAAACTGTTTATGTGGGGACTGTTTGCAACTTAACAGGCACTTAACGTAGTGCAAAGAATGATGGTGATGACAACCAGAGTCCAGGGTCATAACTGAGATGCCACCAGTAATACATGATTTAGCTTGTGACAGTCACTTCACTTTTCTAGGGAGACTTCAATCTCATCACTTTAAAGATGTAAAATAAATAGACGAGAATGGTCACCAAGATCTCTTCTAGCTCCTTTTAATTTTCTATAATTATTGGAATTTTAATAAGCAAAGCTGAAAAACTTTACGGTGACCAAGAATTTATAACCACTTAACCCAAAATAAGGAAAATGATACAATCTCCCAAGTTCACTGACATGAGTGTCCTGTTCCCGAGTGAAGAATGAAACCCAAAGATGGAAGTAGCTTGTGAAAAACCGCCAGGGTGGTGACTGAATGACACAGCGTGCGGTATTGCTTCAGCCAAAGGACTGTCATTTGCTCAGTCATAAAGGCTTTAGTACAATAAATGATAGATTTTATTGAGGAGAGTAAAAAGACATTTCATCACACTTAAAAAGTTATAACTGTAACCTTAAAAATATAGTTTATAACCTCCTGTTAATATATTCAGTCTACACATTACTTGTCATGTTTTAGGATTCTGTGCAAGCAAACAGGAACCGTATGAATAAATCTATTCTGCAGACAGCTTTTATACTCAATTTTGAGACATGGGGGTGGGGGGAGACTGTGGAACTAGCAAATGCATAATATGTATCGTTATAAACCTAAAACCCACTCGTAATCAATATTTTCGCTGACATGTTTGAAACTTCAAACTTTCTAGGAGGTACCTCAATGAAAAATATAAAGCTTGGCCAAAGTCATAAAGCTTATATACACCCATTTCTGTTCTATACTAATGATGTTAACTCCACATGATCTATAGACAATGCTTAGGAATGCTGCTCTGGGCTCACGTCTCTTGAATTTCAACATTGCAAGTTTGATGTCCACTGCTATCATTTAACACAGTACCAAGGTAGTTCAGTATATCATTTATGCGGAAACAGAGGAGTAAGACTTAATGCAAACATCGTTTTTTGTTGTTGTTGTTTTTAAATCAAAAATTTACGGAGCAGAAAGAAATAAAAATTCAGTATTACAAGTTCTCAGTCGCTTGCTATTGCCAAGTCTCCGAATGAAATGCTGTTAACAACACCCACCCCCTGTGTGGCACAGAGCAGAGAGTAATTCTCCTTTGGGGAGGAAATGAAAATATATTTCAAGGGCACTCAATATTCACCTCAAATGTTAGGAATATAATTCTTACAGATAACTGCTGAAGGGAAAAATCGGATTGAGGGGTATTATTGCAGTGGGCTGAACGGTGGCCTCCAAAAGATACATCCACCCAGAACCTGTGAATGTGACCTTAACTATAATAGAAAGAGGGTGTTTGTGGTGTAATTCAGTGTAAGGTTTTGGGAGGAGATCATCATGGATTAGGGGGGCCCTAAATCCAAGGACAAGAGTCCTTAAAAGAGAGGGAGGTGACTCAGAAAAGGTCTGGTGTAAAGGTAGGCTGACTCAGAAAGAGCAAAAAGAGAAAATGGAAAGCAGGCAGATGTAGAAGTTACAACTAATGGTTTTCCAGATCCAAGGAAAGGAGCAAATAGGGTTACACTTTAAAATGCAGTACATTTTAAAACCTTTTTTATATTTTTAAACCCATAAGCAATGTTAAAAGATAAAAAATATTTACAACTACTATCAAAAACAAAGGCCTAATTTCCTAAATATACAGAGCTGTTAAAAAAAAAAAACAATAGAAAATGTAGCCAAAGCCATGAACAGATAGTTTGATAAAAGATAAAAGTAAACACTAGTGGATTATAATCATATGATATACAATCTCAATCATAAGAGAAATGTAAATTAAAACTAAAACAAGATACCATAAATCACTTAGAGTGGGGAAAAGAATATACTAACACATTTTATATTCAAACAGCCACTTATATTTTGCTATAAATCAGTAAAATCACTATGGAGGGCAAAAATACAAATTAATCTATTAATTCCCCTTCTGGAAATTTATCCTAAAGATATACTTTGGCAAAATATATTACATGTTAAATGTTGTATAATTGGATATTTATATAACAAAATTATTTACTGCATTACTGTTTCTAAAAGCTAATGACTGAATATTTAGGTTGGTTCCGGTAATACGGGATTGGTTCAAGCTGTCCACAAAATGGAGTACCATGCAGATGTGGGGCGAGGGTGCTACCAGGTATTCATGCAGAAAAGTCAGGCATGCCATTTAAATATTAAGTTTCCATCCACTGACATTTCTGATTTGCTCAAGTCATACAAATTGCAGTCATACAACTTGATTCTGTATATTAGATTTACCATGTAGCATAACACCTGTTATTGCTACAACTTTATCAAATATAAGAAAAACGGACACAATAGTGAGGCCATGCTTTTGAGTCACTAACCTCAATGGGCACATGGACTGAATGACTAGAACCTCCTGTTATAAGCTAAACTCAGGAATGTTAA